CTATCTATCCTCTATATCTATTATCCATCTATCCATCTATCTCTCTATATATCTCTCTCTATCTATCTCTCTCTATCTCTCTCTATATCTATCTATCTATCTATCTATCCATCTATCCATCCATCCATCCATCTATCTATCTATCTATCTCTCTCTATCTATCTCTCTATCTATCTCTCTATCTCTCTCTCTATCTCTCTCTCTATCTCTCTATCTCTCTATCTCTCTATCGATCTCTCTGTCTATCTATCTCTCTATCTATCTCTCTATCTCTCTATCTATCTATCTATCTCTCTATCTATCTCTCTATCTCTCTATCTCTCGATCTCTCTGTCTATCTATCTCTCTATCTATCTCTCTATCTCTCTATCTCTCTATCCATCTCTCTGTCTATATATCTCTCATCTATTCTCTATCTCTCTGTTATCTATCTATTATCTATCTCTCTATCATCTTCTATCTCTCTTGTATCTGTTATCTCTCTCTCCTATCTTATCTCTCGATTATATGTCTATCTATATATCTATTCTCTCTTCTATCTCTCTATCTATCTCTCTATCTCTCTATCTCTCTATCTATCTATCTATCTATCTCTCTATCTATCTATCTATCCATCTATCTATCCATCTATCCATCTATCCATCTATCCATCTATCTATCTATCCATCTATCTATCCATCTATCAGGTGAAACACACTGTTATTATATTACTCACAGCTGAGTAGCATGTGAATGTAATCCTTTAAATGTTGTCCATGTTTTTTCCACAACGACATGACCAACACTGATATGCATTTCCTGTTACTAACTGATCAGATAATAGCAGAGAGTTTTCCCACCTTCTCCTCAGGCGGTACGGGGTCCGCTCTGAGCACGTAGTAGTACACACACTTGTCCCGGAGCCACAGAGGGAAGGGGCCCTCCACAAACACGGGCCGGCTGGGGTTGTGCTGGGCCAGCAGCTCCATCTGGCTGGGGCTCTGGATACCTGGGACACAGGAAGGAAAGGGAACAAAGACAGTGAGAACACTTCTGAGTTATATATGGATCTGATCCCACCATTGTATTCATTTAACATTTGTATGTTGCTCAGAATACAGTTTCCTGAGGCCTGTACTACGAAGCTGGATTTTCGCTTACTAACTTCAGGGAAATCTCGAAATCTCGGGCTTTCCGGTCCTACGAGGCTGGTTCTCTTTTTAGCAGGCTAGATTTCCATGGTAACTTATGCTGAGCGGCAAACCTGCTCCGGAGCAGGTTAGGTGGCAGGCTAAGAGATCAACTCAGTGAAAGCACCGCCTGCTGACCAATCAGAGCTCCGTGTGCGGAGTTTAAAGCGATCAAGTCATATTACAGGATAGAGGAAATACAGAAAAACTGCCGTTGCAGGAAAGACGGCCGGCAAAAATCAACTGACTGTGTGAACGTGAAAATGAATAGAATATCCCCTCCCATCTTCAGAGCAATCTGACTATTATAACATTAGCGTTAAGAAAGCTTACTTAAATATCTGCCACGACATAAGTAACCGGATCAGAGTAACATTAAGTACAGTCCGCGGCACTGTGAGTGCAGACGTCGATGTGTCCCATTATCATTCATATCATATCACATCATAATGTATCATATATTTCCTTATTTGAGTCAGCTGAGCCGTATCTGGCCGTGCAACACTCACAGTGTCACATACTGTATGCAGAAGTATTGTTTTAAGCAACACGTTAAATTGACTAAACACTCGAGTCAAATTCTCCTAATTAAAGTCAGATCCACTCGTGTCTTGGACGGGGCAGTGATTTCATAAACCTGTTAATGTACGCATTCAAACACTTTCTCTGTTACCAGCTGTATTCACCTTGCAGGTGCAGCTATGTGGCTTTGATCCTGGATAAAGTGTTTAAGTCATGGATGTTTAAAGTTTAACTTCTTCATATTTGACTAATATTAAAGTTCACTTTTCATTCAGGAAGTATGACGCTGCGCTGTCAGTACGCTTGTCCGTGTTTGTGATTGGTCGAATGCTCCAAATACCACCCCTTTCATGTGAACGCGCACCTAACTAGATAGGACACGGCTGGCTTGAGCGATCCACTTGATAACCAGCGTCGTAGTACAGTTTAGCGAGAGCGCGTATGTTTTGGATTGGGCCAACCGGCTAACTCAAACATATCCAGGTTAGGTTGAACCAGCTTCGTAGTACAGGCCTCTGGTTTGTTATAGTTGTTTGTTTCCTTTCCAGTTAGGCTTAAAAGCATTTACTGCAATAATGTGGCAAAGAAGGCAATAACTGAAAATATGTATATAAATACAGCTGTATACTTTACACAGAATCCCACATATGTTCTTCAATCCCCTTACCAAACCAGCGTGGGACACAACTCCTAAGGTTCCTTAAACAGTGGGAAGCATGTAACGACAATAAAACCTCAGAAAAACCAACACACAAACAAACAGTTTCCATACCGACTACATGTGGAAGTGTGATCTCCTCTCCGCTCTCTGTGATGTCTGTGCAGGCCAGCTAGAGACAAGAGCAGATCAACAGACAGGTTATCTATTTGTCAAGAAAGGCCTAGGAAAATAATAAGAAAATAAACACATGAAATAATATTTGTGTGTTAAACGTATTTCCCTCTCCAAAGTGGTACCTGATACACGGTGACTTTAGCGTCCCGGTCATCAGCGATGCGGGCCAGGCTGAAGCGTGCCAGGTCCACGGGGTCTTCCGGCAGATTCTTGGGGATGGGGTAGGGGTTTGTGTGTTTGAATTTTGGGAACCAGTACATGATGCGCTGGTATTTCCTCACGGCGTGGCCCTTCACTCCAAAGACCTGGATCAGCAGGACTTTGGTGTTAACGTTGGGCATGATACCTGAAAAACAAATCATAAAAGACTGATCATGTCATCATCTGTAAGCACATTACCAGTTTGCATTTCGATGCAGATGACACCCAGATGTATTTAAGCTTCGACCCTGCATCCACTCATAACACTGGTTATCTCCTCAACTACCTCCAGGATATCCGCAAATGGATGTCACAACATTTCCTGTAGCTACATGCTGATAACAGTGAAGTCATTATTATAGGTCAAGTTGAACAGTCTTGGTTCTCGGTCTCATCAGTGCAGAAAACGTGGTGTCTATCTGTTTTACCCTGTGCTTTTACGTTTAGATGCTGTTGTTTAGTTCACTTCACTCTCTGTGTCTTCTCACCAGTGTTCTGTTCTCTGTGAAAGCATGCTGTAACTAGAGAATGCACTGTCTGCGGTGTGAATGCTGTATGCTGAAAAGCTGACGCTGAACTTAATACAAATTTGAATGAATTATGAGTTAACATTTCTAGAATTATGAACGTTATGAATGTCGGGAGTAATAACCGTCGATCCCTAAATGAGCTTAATGTTTTGATGTTTGAACAGAATTTCTGCGATGAGGAATTTGGGAGAAGAATCAAAATGTTGCAGTAGAAGAACACATGTTGGGAATGCTTCTCAGGATTCACACCAAACTATGATTTGAAAGGTGCTATAAACATGAAGTTAATTATCATTATTATTGAGATGGACAGACACATTGGTATAACACTTTGAAGTGTCTCTGTGCAGACTCCCACCATAGCCCTCCATCTGCTCCAGCAGGTACACTCCACACTCCTGCTGCCGGGGGTAGTGGTTGAACATGGTCTGGATATAGTTCCTGGGCACAAACACCTCTTTGGGGAAGACGTCCAGCAGCTTGTTGTAGACGGCCAGGTCTCTCTCCACGCCGAACTCCGGCATCTTCTGCAGAGCGGCGTAGATGAACTCCACGTGGCCGCGGCGCCTCACGTCCTGCTTGATGAACACCTCCACCACTTTGTTAAACGTGGCCTTGGTTTTGGTCTCCCTGGCAACCTGCTCAAACAGGTCGTCATGGATGACCAGAGACTTGTCCTTTTTATTGTCGTCCTCATCGATGAACTCTGCAGGGATGGGTTGATTCTTGTCATTTATTGGGCTCCTGTGGAAACGCCTTATCACCTACAATAAGTCGGAAACAAGAAAGAGGCTGGCTGGAATTACATTGTTGGAGCTATACAGTGATTTATATTATTTAATAGTTAAACATTTATTTCCTTGCTGTATTATATTACATTTATTATTATTTAGTGTTATTATTTTTGTTAATTAAAGTAAGTCTTTATGCTTTTATTTTTGAAGGTTTTGGGCACCTGGTGATTATGTATATATTGGAGACAGGTGGTGGTGGGATTGGAGATGGCAAATGTTGTGGGTAAGCACAAGGTGAGCTATAGTAAAGTCTGCAGGGCAACAATCATTGCTGTATAGTGTTGTATGATATTAGATCATCGGAATAAAATGCACAAAAGCGATATTCTTGCCTGAACTTCTCATTTCTCCTGCGTGAGATTCGCTATCTGGTGTCACAGCAGCAGTTTCATTTTGAGGTACAGTTCCGTTTTATTTTCTTATAATTTTGCTGCTACAATTTGTTATACGTGCTGACTGGTGAGATTCATTTATCCAGAAGATCGTTGAGGAAAGAGACATGTTTCTGGGATTACTTGCTTCATGGAATATTTTGAGTGGAGATGACTCTTTGACTCAAACTTAAGCCTTCTTTCTGCCACCAACACCATCACCTCATTTTTATGTATTTTTAATCCAACTGATATGTTAATGGACCCAAGTCAGTGCAAGAACAAAACCACTTTGCACTTTTATTAAGACTGCCACTCCGTCACTTTACAATGCAATTTCACTCTTTTTGTGTGTAGTATATGAATTGTATGTTGTACTGTGTATGGTAGTAGAGTGTTATTTTATCCTATTTGCCAGTGCCAAAGACACATTTCTATTATATGTAAATGTAATGGACAATAAAGTATTCTGAATCAAATGACAGTGTACCTGGTGCTGGGTGTTTCGCAGCATGTGAGGCTGAGAGGAGGACTGAAGCAGAGCTCCATGCTGGGCTGCAGACCGGGCGGACTGTCCCTGGAGACCCTGCAGCTGGAGACTCTGCAGCTGGAGACCCTGCAGCCGGAGACCCTGCAGCTGGAGCAGGCAGCGGGCACACTTCATTGTAGATCCATCACACTGACTCTCGGGAAACAGAACTGCAAACGGGGCAGAAACATGACATGGACAGTGTTCAGAACTGCTGAATTATTCTCAAAACATGCATTCAAGGCACTCTGGCAAGACTGTTATACTCCTATAGTGTCACAGCACCGCTTTGTATTTAGGTGTGTATCAGCAATCAGAGGTGGAAGAAGTCCTCAGATTATTTACTTAAGTAGAAGTAGCAATACTGCAGTGTACGAATACTCAGTTATAAGTAAAAGTCTTGCATGGAAAATTGTATTTAAGTAAAAAAGTATAAGCATCATAAAGCATCCGTTATTCAAAATGGCTATTTTAAGCCCCAGATATTTCAAATGTATACACTAATGGGCAGTTAAAACTATAATAATGTGTGTTTTATATTACGAATTAATAACCTAAATAAGCACACAAGCAGTGGCGACTGGTCATTAGGGGCAGGTGGGGCACAGCCCCACCTAGTGTCAGCAGAAAGTATTACAAATAATGATTACAAAAATGCAAAAAAATAAATAAAAAAATATATAAAATATATTTTAAGATCATGTTTAATCATCTGATTCGTCTGTACATTGCTGTTTTAGTCTGTGTTCTTCTAATTAGTGTGTCTACAGTCACAGTGTGTGCCTATTGAGCTGTTTAGAGCCATGTGGGACAAAACCTGATTATGCCCCTTCCTCTCGCTGTGAAGTGAACGATGACTGTAAAAACTACACTGCGCATGCTCAGAGTATTTTGTAATGTAATGTGTGTGGCAAAAAAATAATGACCAGAGGGGCACGGAGCTACCATCCCCACCATACGTCATCTCAAATCATTCAGAGCTGATTGGCTGTAAGTACGTGTGCCGCGAAAAGTGTGGTGTGTGTGAAGAGGAGACGAGAGAGCTGCAGTGACGCGTCCTAAAACCAGGAAGTAAGCACAAAAAAGCAATGAGATTTCTCCAGAGGATTTTAGAAAATAGCTCGAAATAAGATCTGTGGGAAACGTACCTGTTAGATAAATGCACGTTTTGATTAGCCGGATAACATCCACATGTCTACCCTACTTTTTTTATCATAAATCTATGGATTAGATTTATGATAGACTTTTGATAAGGAGGACTTTTACAAAAAAGTTATAGAAATTTTTGTCCAGAAGGATAGGCAAATGGACTTCATCTTCAAGTCAAGGTAAGACCGCCATTTTATTGAAAATGGGATCTTACTAAGAGAGAACAATTCAATATTTAAATGATAAAATTACATTTTTTGGGTATCCTTTTGTTGAACTGTCTGTTTAAAATTAATCGAAGCATCAGACAAAAAAAGCTTTTGAAAATAATATTATATTTTGGTTTAGGTCAAAATATAATATTTGTAAACCTGAAGAGTCAGTGCCAGTGCCTCAGCAGCCATGAACCTCACTGCACGTCACTGCAGAAGCTTATATATAGACATCTAAGTTTTTTGTGCCCCACCACTTTTGTACATATAAAAACGCCACTGCACACAAGTAATACTAATACATAAAGAAAAAGTCCCCTTTCATCAAAAGTACACTTTTCAATGCTTGCATTGAATGCAAACGTCATTTAAAAAAAGAATAATGAATGTAAGTCACATTAATGCATAGCCTACATATAGAGTAAAGGACATATTATAAATACAACATATTGAAGTATACTACAACATATGACAACAAAATGTAATGAAGTAAAAGCATAAGCAGCATCATTTGAAAATACTCAAATTAAGTACCAGTACCAAAATGTTTTACTTAAGTACACAACTTGAGTAAATGTACTTAGTTACATGACACCACTGAATATAATACATTGTGTATAATGCATTTATTATACCCGACCTGAAGAGGGACTCTACTGTATTGCTAACCGTTCTTCAGACACATTGTCGCGTGTAAATATTTGCATAGATGCAAGAAAACCTTACAAATACACATTTGTCGCTGAAGTTTCCAATACACAGTTATAGGAGCTGTTAATGGCTAAATGTCAAGCATGTTACTTTGCATTTTTTGGTTCAGCAATCCATGACTGAGGTATATTTTAAACAACAACTACATAGCTTTTAATCCCGTGCTCAATACCCACCATTTCAATTGACAGATGTACGAACAAACAGTCTCCTTCAGGAATCCCTCTCCTTGGAAGCCTCCATGATGAAAAGCCGGAAGGACATCCGGGTCCTACACACAATGGCTTCCCCCAAACAACAGAAACATGGGCGAATAAAGGTTCCGTAACCTCTGACTTACAGCTGAAACGCTTCTTATCAGTGTTGTACACTCCTCTAAAATGGGCTATCTTTAAGATGTTTTGGCTCCTGTTTTCGTTATAGAAAGTTATTATATTGTACTTATTTATCAAATTCTGTAAAAGAAAACATGAACATTTGCAAACATGGCTTTTTTAACATAATGTATTTATCAAACACAGTGGTGTAGTGTAACTAAGTACATATACTCAAGTATTGTATTTAAGTAAAACATTTAGGTTTACTTTACTTGAGCATTTTCGTTTCATGCTACTTTATACTTTTACTCCACTACAGTTTGTTGGCAAATGTTGTACTTTGTTTACTCCACTACATTTATTTAACAGATTGAGTTACTAGTTACTTTGCAGATTTATGCTATTCATACAACATATAAATCAACTAATACATTATCATATATTATTAAAGGTTAAGCAACCATGTAGTAATTAAGTTAGTAATTCAATTGAACCCCACTTTTATAAAGTGCAACATTGAAGGGATGAACACGTTCATGCATCAATAATTATAATACAATAATTAAAATATATATGCTGCTTAAATGGCCCATTCTGCATAATGAGTACTTTAGGGGTTAGGGTTAATTTGGGGTTTGTACTTTTACTTCAGTACAATTTTGCATGCAGGACTTTTACTTGTAGCAGAGTATTTGTACACTGTAGTATTGGAAATAAATAATCTGAGTAATTCTTCCACCTCTGATCAAAACGTTGGACAAGTGGAAAGCTAAACCAACACAACATTTAAATTTAAATTCGTACCAAGTCGTAGTTTTCTGCTCTACAGTGATAAATGAGATGCGCGTGCAATACATGACACTGCCGCGTGGTGGCGCCAAAAAGCTTTCATACAAACAGCTTGGATTTGACAGGCGCTCAGAAATGTGTGTTGTAAGTTTAAAACTCCTATCTTCTTTAACACTTCTGGTAGACTGTCTTTACTGCGTCACACAATGAGACTGAAGACTGTTGGAGACAGCTTATAAAAGCAACTTTGATACATCTTTTGACTTCCATAACTCATCTCTGCATGGTGCCCTGAAGCGAATAGCATCAAGCTAGCCATAATGAGCTACACCACTTCCGGAGGGCAAGTTGAATCTTTCCACAAGTGACGTCCTGTTTTGTAAGTTCATTACTTTGTTTACCATAATTATGTAATTAATTTATATTCACGTGATTTAGTTATTTATTCTTATTTATGTATATGGTTCAACTAACAACAGCCTTTCTTTTTACAGAAAAAAACTACCCCCGTTTCCGGTGTTGTTGTTGCTTACCCCGGGAGTTTGACACTCGTCCCCAGAGTGTGACTGCTGACACTCCTCTCAGCATGGAAAACACACCTCGGTCCAGGCTTCCCCTCTGAAGAAACCTTCCACAACTTAAACTTCGGATTATGGATTCCTCCACAAACAGTTTGGGTGAGTGAAAAAGCAAAAAAGCTGTATTTTTGTGTCTCTGTTTTGTGCTTTTTTTCTTCTGAAAACAGCATTATGGAAAGTTGCCTGACTATTTGGATATGTCGCACACATGGTTATGGAGGGAACACTTTGCTTAAATACAATAAAACAATCTTGCTTATCGTCATCAATACATACGACAAGATTTATAGCATTTTACGTAATTGTACAATTTCAGGGTGGTTTGGCTGGACATCTTTCTTGAAGCAGCTCTTAATGTAATAACGTTTTACAGTTATTTCGTAATGCTTCCTAACGCATTCATTGGTAGCCTGTGTTTTGATGGAAGATGACAGTGGGACAACAGGCGGGTTTTCCAACTTTTTAAGAAAGTTTTGTGGTGCTTACACATTTTGCACAGTATTACTGTTTGTTTGGCTTCATACTAGATGCCATGAAGAAACGCCCTGTACACTTTTGATGTTTAATATAGTGATGCATTTCTCGATCTAAACTGTGTTACACCATGACAGCTCTGGAGTCTGCGTAGGTGTGTGGGTCCTGCTGCAGGTCCTGCTTCAGAGCAGCTGCTCCAGTTACCATTTCTGCTGAGGGCTACTTTCGGTTTTAGAGCATGATGCTTTAGCCTTGCTTTCAGACTCTGTCGCTATGTTGGCATGCAGGTTTAGGCAGTGGTGGAAAGTTACAAAGTACATTTACTTTTACAAGTATTGTATTGTGACATTTGTAATTGACTTCACATCTATTGCAAATATTGTACTTTTTACTCCACTAACATTTTTTACACACTCAGTTATGAAAACATATTATATGCTGATCATATAATTAAGTACTGTACTACTAATCTACACAGTATTACAAATAACTACATTTGGTCCACATCGAGGTAAGATTACTACACAAAAATGCTATTACATAAAAATAGGATAATATAATAACCATAATAATAAAACACTGTGGAAAAATATATTCTGCATAATAAGTACTTTTACATTTGATACTTGATGTGCAATAAGATAATAATACTTATGTACTTTTTTTATAATCTGAAATGGGCAATGGTGCAGAATGAGTCATTTTACTTTTTGTACTTTAAGTACAATTTAATGCTAAACTTTTGTACTTTTACTCAAATAACATTTTGAAATCAGGACTTTTACTTGAAGTGAAGTATTATCAGACCACAGTATTTGTACTTTAACTAAAGTAATGGATTTGAGTAGTTCTTCCAACACTGCTGTTACTTTGTATCAGTGTGCCTTCCTAACTGTAGATATATGTTGTGACTAATGTGACAGTGTCTCTGGTTAGGTAACGTTATGAATCTTTCTGTTTTGTGAAGCTTTCAATTGGATAAAGTCCTGGCTGTAGTTTTCAGTAGCTGAATCAGCAGAGCTGTCAGAGATCAAAGAAAACTCAGCTGTCTGGTTGAAAATGCAAAACAAGTATAACGTGTATATAATCTTTTGCACTATTTATGATCTTCAGTCAGTTATGAACAGTCTGTCCATGTTGATGCGCAGGCAGTTTGCTTCCCAAGGCTTTTTGCAAGCAACAACAGTCCTGAATGTTTCAAAGCTCGACCTGCTCTTTCCCCACTGCTGACAGTTTAATGGAGCTATAACAGTGTTGCACAATGCTACTTTTGTTACACATATGTAGGCCCTGCTCCCACCTCATGTGCTGATGTTGTGTTTGCTTGTCTTGTAAATTGGTGGGGCGGCGAGGCACTGGGGAACAGTAAATATCATGAGTTCTCAGCCAGCATATGTGGGCAAGGCTGCTGTGGCTCAGTGCTGGAGGCAAGTGTAAAATATAGTGTAGAGGCTGCCACTTACCTCAGTGAAGATCTCTGTTTGAAACAGAAATCATCCACTAATGCTTCATAATGAAGGTGATTCAATAACTTTTGAAACATGTAATGTGGTTGTACTGATGCAGTGAGGCTCTGTTATACATTATTCCTGAGTCTTAATGTCAGCGGACTGGCTTGCACCATACCATGGGTCAGATGAGGTGAATTACACATTTGTTGTAGTTTGTGATGCACTGACAACAAGAAGATGCCAAGATACAGTACACTAGAGAATGCAATTCCTGAAGAAATTGCTAGTGGGAATGCTTTATGCTGAAAAGCTGACACTAAACTGCTATGCTGAAATGTAATGTGTAAGAAGAAAGTGAAGAATTTAGATTGAAATGATACATGAACACTGGGGGCTTGAATGTGTGAGAGAAGAAAAGAAAGTAAAAAGGCTTGGAAAAGCAGCAGAATATTTGAACTGCAAACTTTTGAACTAACTTGATGGTGAATGATCTGTCGCCATGCCAACGGCATTTGATGACATCCCATAATACGCTTAGATGCGTTGATGGCTGCATCGTTACCAAACCTGTGAAGTTTTGGGCCGTTTGGAGCATTTTCACTGAAGTTATGAGAAAACCGTGTTTCATGGTGAGCATTGTTTCTGCGATGTGGAATGTGGCAGAAGAAGAGGTGCAAAATAACCCGGCGGAATAATAAAGAATTTCGTGCGTAGCATAACAGATGCTGTGTCAGCATTCCCACTAAATTATTTGTCTCCACCCATATTAGCAAATATACTATGAAGACTTTTAAAACATGCATTTACATGGGTGATATGGCCAAAATGAATTTCACAATGAAAATAACAATATTATTAGAACATCAATATATATCATCACATCATGGTAAAAGGATGCAGAATTACATATTACATATGGTTTAATGTTTATTCTTAATATTATGTTTATTTATTTCTCACCATGATTTGTACTATATGTGTTATTACCTTGGACACAACTTCTCACACATACAAATGAATATCTTCATTTGTTCATTTTAAATTAAAGCTTGCAGTGATTAATTTGTAACATAATATCATTTTGTAACATTAATGCTTTTATTGGCTAGCACTCCAACACATTGTGCGTGATAGGCTAAGGGGCGGGACATATCTAAGCAGTTGACCAACAGAGGCGGCCAGCTAACCAATCAGAGCAGACTGGGCTCTGGTTTCAGACAGAGGGTGAAAAGAGGTGCTGCAGCACAGGCAGTATGAGAAAAATAAAGAGCTTTTTGAACATTAAAGCATGGAGACATGTCACAGTAGAGACACTACATACTGATATACACCTGAACATCAGCAGGAGAGGACTCTTTAAAGTAGAGACACTACATACTGATATACACCTGAACATCAGCAGGAGAGGACTCTTTAAAGTAGAGACACTACACACTGATATACACCTGAACATCAGCAGGAGAGGACTCTTTAAAGTAGAGACACTACATACTGATATACACCTGAACATCAGCAGGAGAGGACTCTTTAAAGTAGAGACACTACATACTGATATACACCTGAACATCAGCAGGAGAGGACTCTTTAAAGTAGAGACACTACACACTGATATACACCTGAACATCAGCAGGAGAGGACTCTTTAAAGTAGAGACACTACATACTGATATACACCTGAACATCAGCAGGAGAGGACTCTTTAAAGTAGAGACACTACATACTGATATACACCTGAACATCAGCAGGAGAGGACTCTTTAAAGTAGAGACACTACACACTGATATACACCTGAACATCAGCAGGAGAGGACTCTTTAAAGTAGAGACACTACATACTGATATACACCTGAACATCAGCAGGAGAGGACTCTTTAAAGTAGAGACACTACATACTGATATACACCTGAACATCAGCAGGAGAGGACTCTTTAAAGTAGAGACACTACATACTGATATACACCTGAACATCAGCAGGAGAGGACTCTTTAAAGTAGAGACACTACATACTGATATACACCTGAACATCAGCAGGAGAGGACTCTTTAAAGTAGAGACACTACATACTGATATACACCTGAACATCAGCAGGAGAGGACTCTTTAAAGTAGAGACACTACATACTGATATACACCTGAACATCAGCAGGAGAGGACTCTTTAAAGTAGAGACACCTCATAGAGTACTGATATACACCTGAACATCAGCAGGAGAGGACTTTTTAAAGTAGAGACACTACATACTGATATACACCTGAACATCAGCAGGAGAGGACTCTTTAAAGTAGAGACACTACATACTGATATACACCTGAACATCAGCAGGAGAGGACTCTTTAAAGTAGAGACACTACATACTGATATACACCTGAACATCAGCAGGAGAGGACTCTTTAAAGTAGAGACACTAAATACTGATATACACCTGAACATCAGCAGGAGAGGACTCTTTAAAGTAGAGACACTACATACTGATATACACCTGAACATCAGCAGGAGAGGACTCTTTAAAGTAGAGACACTACATACTGATATACACCTGAACATCAGCAGGAGAGGTTCCTTTTAAATAATATATATAATATATATACACTTTTTTAGTGGCTGAAAAATGGACAACATCTTCCACTCTCTGGACAGCCTATGGCAGTCTGTTAATGGACATAAATATAGTAAGAGCATAATGAGGGGATAACAGGTGGCACGCACACTGACCTTGAACAGTTAGAACACTGCAATGTGGCAGCAGACCCCACCTGTCATCCACAGTGCATTTAATGTATGTAATGTAAACTGGACTACGACGCATTTGTCTTTTGATGCTCATTTGTACAGCCACATACATAATACACTTGTATTTCATTTAACTGCCTTATCTGTATTTACATTTTGTGAACCTCCGTGGTTTCCCCCCAGATAAGAATAAACTGTTTCCCAGTTGCATACTAATACTGTACTGAATGCCGTTTACGGTTCTGAGTGAGTCACATTCTTATTAAATGCCAAAATGAAATACACAAAATGGTGAATCTTTGCCAAACACATTTGTACTCATTTCTTTAAAAATGTCAAACAGAAATAGTATGTTTCTTTCCGTGTTGGACTGTTGAAGCTAACAGTAGTGATAACTAAGAAAATAAGAGTAACAACTTGTATGAAAACATAATTATCCTTCACAGT